TGGGAGGGGACGGGTGGATTCAGCCTGGGTGTCTTCTTGCCTGGCTGTGGCAACGGTCTGGTGCTTGGCTGGGGGTCTGGGCTGTGGGGGGCTGTGTGTGGGGGGTGTATTGGGGGCTCTCGCTCGGGTGGCTCTTCACTGTTGGCTCGGGGGTGTCTGGGCGTGTTAGGCGTGTGCCCTCCCTTGCGTGGGGTACTCTCATTGTGGGTATTGCTGTGGTGGACTGGTTGGTTCTTTTGTGGGGGTGGGGGTGCGCTCTCGGTCGTCGTGGTGCACTAACTGTGGCTGTTCGGGCACTCCTGGCTGATTGTCGCTGTTGGAATTTGGTGGCTTTTTTGGTCGGGGGCTGGGTATTGAGCTGGGGATCGGGTTGGGTGGTCTGGATGGTCTCGAGGGGGGCTTGGGTCACTGGCCCTTGTTCTGTCGGTCCTCCGGGTTATGTGCCAGTCCGTGTCCTGGGTCCCTGGTGGTGCGGCGGCCTCCTGCTCCTGGATGGATGTACTGGAGCCTTTCTTCCCTGGTAGATCTCGGAAAATGATGGATGGATGGATGGATGGATGGATGGATGGATGGATGGATGGATGGATAGATGGATAGATGGATAGATGGATAGATAGATAGATAGATAGATAGATAGATAGATAGATAGATAGATAGATAGATAGATAGATAGATAGATAGATAGATAGATAGATAGATAGATAGATAGATAGATAGATAGATACTTTATTGATCCCAAAGGAAATTACATGGCGATCTGTAGCTCTCATACACACAAACAAGATAAAAACACACCAGAATTAAAAAAAAAATATATATATATATAATATATATATATATATATATATATATATATATATATATATACATACATATAATATTAATAAACAATAAAACCTAGTATTAAAAATGATTGATAATAATTAAACAAGCAAGAGGAGATAAAGCAGCAACTATGCTAGGGGACAAAAAAAACAGCTAGCTTCTCTGGTTCCTGCCAGGATTGGCCGAATTATACAGCCTGATGGCACGAGGGACAAACGAGTTTTTTAGTCTCTCAGTAGAACACCTCATTGAACGGAGTCTAGAGCTCAATGAACTTTGCTAGTTAGAGAAGACAGAGTACAAGGGGTGGCCCTGATTGAACATGATCGCCCTGATCTTGGAGTGCGTCCTCTGCTCCACAGATGCAGGATGTTTTCCACAGTGAAGGAACTCTCCCCAGCCTCAGACTCAAGTTGAAGACATGCTGTAAGGGTTCACCCAGCTCCTCAGCACAGGCTTTCAAGAGACTCGGGCTGACCTGGTCCGGACCTGCAGCCTTCTTCGAATGGAGATGTTGTAGCTCCCTGGTCACCTGGTCCACCGTGATGGATGGAGGAGTTAAGATGGGAGTGGCTGGCAAATCCAAGACTGGAAGAGAGGCATCTTGAAGAGGAACAGTATGTACATGATCAGGGGAGGCCGGAGGGGGTGAGCAGCTGGTCACTGGGGGACTGAACCGATTAAAAAATGAGTTCAGATCCTCAGCTCTCTGGAGGTCCATACAGCCCACCCTTCCCCTGCTGCTGCAACCAGTAATAGTTTTCATGCCATTCCAGACTTCACGCATGTTATTATCCTCCAGCTTCTTCTCAAGCTTTTTGCTATATGCCTCCTTAGCTTCCTTCAGGCAGATTCTCAATTCTTTTTGTACCTCCCTCAGCATCACACAATTTTTGCTCCTAAATGCCCTTTTCTTCTTATTAAGAACTTCCTTCACTCCAGCAGTGATCCATGGTTTGTTGTTGGCAAAGCACTTCACTGTTTTAACAGGTACTACCTGGTCCATATAAGTTCAAATAGTCTGTCATGCACCCCACCGCCCCCTCCAGGTCATCCCCATGTGAGTTAACCAATAAATTCCAGTCAGTAGTGGCAAAACAATCCCTAAATTCATGCTCTACTTCAGGGGACCACCTTGTAGTTAGTTTGCCTCTTCACCAGAGTAGTATATATGGGTTGCAAATGAACAAGGTTATGATCAGATTTACCCAAGGAAGGGAGGGGTGAGACAGAGTATGCGTCCTTGATATTAGCATACAACAGATCTAATGTTTTATTTTTCCTAGTGGGACAGCTTACATATTGGTGGAAGGAGGCAAGAGTATTACCCAAAGTGGCATGGTTAAAATCCCCAGAAATGAGGAAAAATGCATCTGGGTGTTGAGACAGTAGCTCCATAGTCGTGTTTAATATAGACACACATACTGCCTCAGCATCAGCCTTCGGAGGTATGTAGACGCAGAGCGTGATGACATGTGAGAACTCACGTGGTATGTAGTAAGGTCTGATGCTAACCGCTAGCAGCTCCAAGTCATGACTGCATTTTACAGTTTTAACAGTCAGATGATTAGGGTGACACCAGTGCTTGTTAGCATACAGGATGAGTCCCCCTCCTTTGCTTTTTCTGCTGGAATTGGGATCCCGATCAGCTCTCACAGCAGAGAAGCCAGGCAGGTCCACATTAGCATCCGGTATGTAGCCGGTTAGCCACGTCTCGGTGAAGATAAGCAGACTGGCGTCTCTGTAGCTTTGCTGGCTCCCGATCAATGCGGTAAGCTCATCCATCTTGTTGGACAGTGCATTAACATTTCCAATAACCACAGATGGTTTCAAAAGCCTCCACTTTTCAGCTCTAGCCCACATTCTAGCTTTGTGTTTACGACCAGCTCGACATCCCCGGTACTTGCGCCATAGCTCCTTAGGAATCAGGTGGCGTATACCAGCCTTGGCATAGTTTGCTAGATCCAGTAACTCCTCACTCGAATAAACAAATCTATTAATGCAGGACGGCATTAATAGAATGGGACATAAAGATCACATTCAGTCTGTCAACATTCAGTCGAGCAAACAGACGTGCAGCCGGTCTCAAGCGGCACACCCAACCGGGAATGGGGGTGCCTATTGGGGTCAGTGGGGGAGCTGACCCCCTGGGAAGGCATTGCCACCTCAGTTCTTCCTCCCCATCCCGACATCGCTTCGTTTTGACGGGGTGCTGGCTGGTCGGCCTGATGTGACATTCGCGGTTGGGGTGCTGTGTGTGGGGGGTGCATGGGTGGCATGCCGGGGCCTCTCCGGGCCTGTGGTGTGGGGCTGTAGGGGTGCCTGATCATTGGTGCGCTGGGCCGGCCTTCCTCGGCTGCTGCTCCCTGCTGCTTTGGCCCCCGGCCTGGGGCTGACTTGCGATCGCTGTCGGGTGGGTGAGGCGCATGGACGGCCTGACAGAGGCTCTGTCGAGCTGTCTCTGTGTGCCTGTTTATGTCTCAGTTGTGTTTTAGGTGGTCCCCTCTCTTGGATCAATTTGGGCCCCCCATTTAATGTGGGGTCTACTTCCCCCTGTTGTGCTCCCCTCCGGTGGTGGGGCCCCCTGCCGCCGGTGCATTGACGGCTCTCAGTATCTGGGGCTGGGTGGTGGGGTGTGTGCAGGCCCGTCCTGGTGGCTGCCTGCTGGGGCCTGGGTGTCCTGGCTCTGCCAGGCCTCTGTTGGGGGGTGGTATGACCTCGGGACTTGGTGTCCATGGTCGGATCTACTCTGGAGGGGCGGGATGCCGGCGGGGCCTATGGACTCGTCGCTGCAGCCTCCTGGGGTTTCTGTAATGTGGTTGCTGGGGATCGCCCGGGGCTTCCTTTGCTTCTCTCTCTGTGGGGTGCGGGTGTCCATGTTGGGGGACTCCCGGAGCTCCGGGCTTGGGGACCGCTGTGTGTCTGTGGTTCCGGTCTTCCCTGTGTTACCATCGTGTCCTGTGGGGATGGGTCTGTGGGTCCCCACATCCACTATTGAACATTTTTATGGAGAAACCTTATAGTGACAAGCATGCTCACACAGGTTTAGATCCAGGTGTTTATCAGATACACACTCAAATGGGTTGTGGTGGCCACTAAATATATCTTGTATTACCATGTACTGTATAAAATACTTTCTAATGATGTTATATGTATCATTATATATGTTGTTTGTTGTTGTGGTTTCTTGGTTTTGTCTTGTTTTTTCTTTCCGCAGGTCTAGAGGCAGACTTCATTGATGTTGATTTGTGTTCTCTTTATCCCTCTCTCTCTCTCAATTCCCATCTTCTTCTTTACCTTTTAACCCTTCTCCCACATTTTTGCTTTGTTTTCTTCTTTGTTTTTCATCCCCATGTCCATTACATCTGAAACAAACCCAAAGCAAATTCTAATACATTTAATTTTTATATCAAGTGGAGCATTAAGGCAAGCCATAATGCTCTGCTTGTGAAAGTAAATCAGTTGAGCATCACTTTGACACTCAGACAATAATTCTAAGTGTCACAATGCCGGACAGGACAAGGGTGAAAACAAAAAACAAAACAAAACAAACAAAAAAATGTCCATCCATTATCTTTTACCCGCTTCTTTCTTTTTGGGTTGCCAGAGTCACTTATGACCATGTCCAGCAGTCACTGTATGAGAGTTGAGAGACGCCCTGGACAGGTCTCCAGTCCATCACAGGGACACATAGAGACAAACGACACAACCATTCACTCTCTCACTCACACCTAGGTACAATTTAGAGCTACCAATCAGTCTAACATGCATGTTTTTGGTCTGTGGGAGGAAACCGGAGTACCTGGTGAAAACCCACGCTTGCACAGAGAGAACATGTAAACTCCACCCTGAAAGGCCCCCAGCTGGGATTTGAACCAGCGATTTTTTTGCTGAGAGGCAACAGCTCTACCACCGTGCTGCCTGGTCAAAATGTCAAATACAATCATCTCTGGATCTTTATATGGAATGGTTTGCAAAAATTACAATGACCACATTTGAAAAAAACCCAAACAAACAAGTGTTAATGTTAAGCTTGGTAAGACCAGGAAATGCCAATACTATTAAAAACAAGTTAGCCTTCTTTATCTCCTCAGTTAAAAGTACCAGTCAATATTCATTCAGTGTTAAAAAATAAATGAATAAAAAAAAAACACATGTGGTGAAAATTTGTGCATGATTTATTGTTTGTTGTGTTGTCCACAAAAGGCATAAAACTTAAAAAAAAAACAAAAAAAAACATCTTCTATCATAAAGAATTTGACCAAAGATGTTCTGAAAGTTTTCTTTGTTTTGTAAGTCACAACATACTGTGGGATCCTCGCTCCTATCACAGGATACAGATAAAACCTGTGAATTATTCTTCAGTTCATCTCTACTCGTTCATCCTGAAGAAAGAGTTTAACTAAACTTTCCTCCAGTTTTTCAAGATGTTTCCAGCTGCTTCCAGAGTGCTGTCTTTCTGTAAAAACAAAGAGCATGGGAGTCTCAAAACAAGAACATCAACTACAAATAAGATGATTCCAAACTTGTGTAAAGTACAGTACTGTGCAGAAGTCTTCAAATATCCTTTCTTTATAAGTTGCTTCCAAGTTTCAAGTTTAACAGACATAACAGGATGTTAATGGCAGCAACTAACAAGAATCCTACACACTCTCCATTTTATTTACCATACTATTCCAGACTAAACACATTCAGACTTTTATTCAGTTTTGAGCCACTTTTTGAAATCAGATCATTTAATTTTTTTGTAAATTAAGATGTTTGTTCAGTTTTTATTTGTATGATTATTAGAGCAGAAATACTGAAAAATGATCGGCATCACAATATGTGTATTAAAATTTTGCCTGCAATAAATGATAGTTACATTTTAAGTGTTCTGCTGCTACTGATTTGGTCGTTCCTCTGACAGCTGTGATGCACAGCTCGTTTAGATGACGGTTATAATGGAAAGTGAGCAAAATGTGGCTTTATTGTAACAGATATTTTCTTCACAATATTAAACGTTATCACATTGCACAAGTTGTTTAAATATTGTACAGACGTAATGTTTATGCCATATTATTGGGTGTGTAAAGGATTCTTTCCTAAACATCAACCCCCCCACACCCTGAAAAAAAAATAAAAAATCATTTGGCCTCTCAATGAATCTTGAAGAGCATTGTACCAGAATAAAAATTGGTTACTGAGATTATTTTATGAAGAAAAAAAAAACAAACATAAAAAAGAATATTAAAGTTGTATAATTTACCAAATGAACATCTGAATAATCTTTAAGGTATAGGTGGTAAACTTACAGGAATCCAGGGTAAAAATCAGATTAATTAAACAAAACTTTGGCCTTTTTCTTACTAAATTGTAATTTAATCTCAATTAGTATATTGTCTCAAATATGGTAGTTGTATTTTTATTTTTTTTAATTCTTCCAGCTGCTCCCTTCTTCAAGGGTCACCACAGTGAACTAACTCACATGGACTTGGCAATTGTTTTTACACCGGATGTCCTTCCTGACACAACCACAGACCACTGAGCTACCACAGCCCTCTGGGTGGAGCAGAGAGCTGACATCTACGGTGTCCAGGGAAGCAAATGGTGGGGGTTTAGGGCCTTGCTCAAGAGCCCAAAGTGGGGCAAATGAGGATGGAGGCAGGTGTGGGTGTTTCTAAAATTGAATTTGTTCTAGAATTGCACCGATCAAGGTGGCTGCATGTTGGAGCAGCTCTGTTACTTTCATTCTGAGATTTTGCTTTTGGAAACTTTAGTTCCTCTTTTTCTGGATGTAAATCACATTTTTTGGATGATTGTTTCCTCTGGTATCAGATGCTGTGCAGCTGGAAGGATTTTTACTGAAACTTTTATAGTTTTGGACATTTGTTATGATGCTTAACCATGGCAACAAGGCAATTTTCTACAACCAACAGCAGCTGATTAACATCTCAAAAGCTCAAATAATATCTCAGCTACAGCCCCAAATCTCAAATGAGTTGAAAAGGATGTTCTGTGGACGCATTCTCATCAACCTGCCAGCTGTGCTCGAGTACCTGACCACTGAGATCCTGGAACTAGCAGGAAACACGGCTCATGACAGCGGAAGGACAGGATCGTCCCTCGGCACCTACAGTTGGCTGTCTGCAGCGACGAGGAGCTCGGCAGACTGCTGGGAGGAGTGGCCATCGCTCTGGGAGGAGTTCTGCCCGGCATTCGGGCGGTCCTACAGCCCAGGGGAACCGAGAGGCCAGCCGAGTCTGGGTGGACGGATCAGACGGCATCTGCAGCCAGTTTCTTAGGATCCACTGTGGGATGGACCTTTACAAGAGATCCTTCCTGTCTACAGCCATCAGTATCTATAACATCTCTTAATGAAACGAGGATAACGAGTTACAACAACTAATAATTTCCCTTTGGGATTAATAAAGTATTTTTGAATTGAATTGAATTCACCTTTCCCACCCACATTTTGATGTTGTCGGTTCAGGGAGCTGAACCAACGACCTCTCGATCACAGGCCCACCTTCTATAATCTCTGCACTACCATTAATAAACATCTTAGTTTGATATAGTACATTTAAGACTTTTACCCTAGAAGCTTTTTTCTTCTTTTGGTGGTGGTGGTGGTGGGTGGGGTGGCAGGTCATTGCCAAATTTGTGGCCTTGTAACATAAGAAAATGTTGGGAGTTTTATATAACATTTATGTCAGAATTTCAGAGACCTTTCTCTGACTTGAGCCAGATGGTGTAGAGGCAGGGCAGCCGACTCAGGACCCGAAAGTCCCGGGTTTGATCCCCAGCCATTCCCACATGTCATGGTGTCTCTGAGCAAGACACCTAATCCCCAATTGCTTCCCGGGTGCTTACACAGCTGCCCACTGCTCCACCTGGGTGTGTCCCAGGTGTGAGGGGTTAAATGCAGAGAACCAATGTCGTCATTGTATGGGAACATACAATGATGACAACACACAGCACTTATTATTATTAGATGCTTTAAGTACTATGTTTTTGTACCATAGCCCTCATACACTAATGCTGTTTTCATCTACCTTTATGAAGCACAGACGGATGTATTTCTCAAACTGCTTCTTCGATTCCTCTCCGACGAATGCTGTGACGGGAATAGCAGCTAATTTCTGGGAGAAAAGTGATAACTGAAACTTTGATTTACAACAAAAACACTGCAGTTTGAGAGTTAGGATGAAGAAATAAAGATACCTTTTCTTTTATCATCCACTTTACAAACTTGTAGTCATAGACCTCATCATCAACCATATGTGACAGGTCCTGATCTACAGTGGAAACATGGACACTCATTAGCTGATTTCATAGAGAGGGAAGCATCACAGCAAACTGGAACCAGAAGGGAAGAACACCATGAAGCACATGCTGCCACCAACATTCTTTCTAATGACACCAAGTTTGTGAAAAGTGACCACGTAGATCCTGAGATAAACGTCACTGAAAATAGGCAGCAACACCCATTTTTGTTGAAAATCCCAAAATGTTATGGGTCATGTTTTTTAATAGTTTGATTAAAATGTGTTGAGTGGTGAGATTTTTTGCTAACAGACAGACATACAAACACACACATACACACAGGAAAATATATGATATATGATCATGTGCCTGTCATGGTAGCAGGTAATTATAACAATAATCAATAAAGACTCCATTCAGGTGATCATTGTTATGAGCACTGATAGCTTCTGTTGTATACTCTCACCACTGGTGTCAGAAGCATTTGTAATGGGGGGGGGGTCCTCCCCCAGAAAATTCTGAATAAAGTAGATGAAATTTCCCATATTCTGGTGTATTTTAACGAGTTGTTAAACATCTACGTTTACCTACAGAAGTAAGCACTTGATTCAATAACTATTTTAGAGAGCATGGCACAATGCGCCCCCCCCCCCCCCAATCCCGTAGACAACTACCGGCTAACGTAGCGCTAAGCTAGTGGCATGCAATACAGACGTGCTAGCCAAGATGCTATAGATGTAGCGCTCTGCTTCTCTCACGCATCCTAACCCCCTCCACCCTGGTCAACAACTGCAGGCACTAACATGGCACTAAGCTAGCGCACAACACAGAGGTGTCTCCCCCTCCTCCCCCTGCCTCATCAAGTGACCTCGGGGAAACTCTGCATGGGGTGTGGTGAGTTGTTGTAGGTAACAAGGAAAACCCGGAGTGTACTTTTATTGGTTTGAGTATTCTATTAATCAAGTGGAATGGATTTGTTCATGAAGAAATAGAAACAGTGCTGGGTGAGCTAATATTTCATGGTAAATGTGGGGGGGGTCCAAGCAAATATTTTTAAAATGTGAGAGGGACACGTCCCCATCACATATATTTTATATTTATTTATAGAGCACAATTTAAAACAGATAGACTGTTATCAAAGTGCTTAATTGTTGTGGCGCCTATGACTCTCAGTCATGTGGTATTGAAGTGCTTCAAAACTTGGCCGAGTTCTGCTGATCTACATAAAAGGCAGCCAGATGAGTAGCATGACTAATTTGCGGTGACATCAACACCAGGGCGGTGTGCACCACAGCAACTCACTGAGAGATGAAACATCGACGAGCATGAAGTAACCCCCCTCTGGAATGATGGGAGTCATGCCGACCTCCTGCAGGATGGAGGCCAGGCGGTCTCGCTTTCCTTCAAGTTCTTCAGCCAGTGAGGTGAAGTAGCACTCAGGCTGGCCCATCAACTCAGAGTTCAGCAGTAAACCTTGTGCCACCGCCTCCTGAACATACAAACAGCAGAAAATCAAAAGCGTAGCATTTTTTTTATAAAGGAATGGACATCTCCCGCTGCATTTAATGCCAGAGTTTCAGACTCTGACCCTCTTAGGTACCATCAAAAAGTTCATACTATTTTACTGATGCAAGAGACAAATTAAGCACAAACTAACACACCCTAAATTTTTTTTGTCACCTTTAACAGGCAGCAGGCAATATTCAAAGCAAGTTTTTCTTAATAATTAATTTCCTCTTGAAAGAATTGTGTGTAACGTACCTGTAAAGGTGTTGGACAGGTGTACAGAGTATTCTGCATGACAGTCTGAAGATGTTTGATCAAATGTTCGGGCCCTATAGACCAGCCGAGCTAGAAGAGACAAATCAGCTCCAGATATATAAAAAAAACAAAACAAAAACAATAAAAAGTGGACTACAGTATATATTTTAATCTTCTTACCTTCCATCCAGTAACACTAAAGGTTTTTCCTGTGCTGCCTATTGTTATTGTTCTGTCCCACATTTCAGGCAGAGTGGCTGCAGAGCGACAAAACTCCATCAGATTACAACGAGAAACTTTTTGTGAAACTGAAGCGTCACTGCTCTGCTGACTTTGCTGAAATGTGCTCAAGAAGCTGAAACTGTTCTCAGCTAAATCATAGAATTACAGCAAACAGAAGCCAAAAAAGGTTAAAGCTAAAAGGAGCAAAATGGTAGCTAAAAGCTAAAAATAGCCAAACAGTACCTATGAGCTAATAGCAACTGGTAGCTAAAAGTAGCTACGGTGGTTTAAAACTGAAAATAGTAAAAGGTTTGCTAAAAGCTAAAATTATCTAAACAGTACCTATAAGCAAATGGGAGCAACGGGTAGCTGAATGCTAAAAATAGTGAAAATCTAGCTAAAAACTAGTAGCATCAGAAGAAAAAATAAAGTAAGTTTGTCCTGATGCATGATCAATAATCCACGTAGATGAATCTAACAAGGTTGAGTCAGGTCCTCTGGACGGATTCTTCTTGTTGAAATATTTAATCTTTTATCCAGAAGACTTCTTCAGTCTGAGGAGGTTCAAGCAGACAGTCGTATAAGAAGCACCTTCTCATAGTGGATCAAGCAGTTTGCTGGTGAAATCCAGAACTAGCTGTCAGTTAATAGATCGTTAGTGCCCTGATGGCCGCTTGCTATTCACAGAGGGCTGAGTGATACTTGCAAACAGCAGCATTGTAAGAGGGGGACAGTTGAACACAGAGACCCCCACCCCTGTTTAACAATGGACAAGTTCTCTTCACAAAGATGGAAGATCCTCTATGAGAAGGTGTTATTTATAAAACTGAGTTTGTTGCAGCTCCTCAGACCGAAGACGTTTTTGGATAAAAGATGAGACGTTTCAACAAGAAGAATCTGCCCAGAGGACCTGACTCAACCTTATAGCAAGTTTGCTGAAGTATTTTTTTTTTTAAATATTGTTTTTGAAGGAACATAAGAGATCTTAATGTATTTCTATGAGACATTTTATTTTCAATTTTTAAGCATAAAAGTTACCAAAACTCAAAATCAGAGCACATTATTACCAAACAAGCTGAACTTTTAGATTTATAAATGGATAAAATAGTATGCAGAAATATTTTGCAAAAAAACAAATGGAAGAAACTACAGAGGAAAAACAACAGTGTGAATGCTGAATCAGCATTTCCACTATTACTAAACGTATGCAACATGACAAAAGCTCAAACAGGATACCCACCCATTTTGACATGCTCTTGTCCCTTGTAGACAAGCCACTCATAAACCTCGTCACTGAAGCACAGCGTGTCATGTTTGATGCACAGTTCTGCGATCATCTGCAGCTCATCTCTGGTGAAAACCTGCAGGAAGAACCGCAGAAGGAGCCCATCTGTCTGTCACAACAACTTAGCAGGTTTGTATAAAAGCAGTGGCCCTTTCTCACCCAGCCAGCTGAATGTGGCGCTGATGAGTCTCCTCTGTAAGGGAGGACCAGACTAAAGTAACTGATGACTCAGGTGTGTACTCACTTTCCCAACTGGATTGTTGGGGGTGTTGATGATGATGGCCTTGGTCTTGGAGTTGAATTTTTCAGAAAGTTCTTCTGGGTCAAGATACCAGTCAGCACTTGTGATTGTCTTCTTTCCAGACTTCTGCAATGTCAGAGAAGTCATTTTGCATTGCAGCTCTAAGCATTCACTTATCCACTTATCCTATTGATACAGGTATTAATTATCGCAAACTGAAAAAAAACTCTGAATTTGCCTTCAAAAGAAGCTGAGAAGGTACTACCGGTAATTGTTTATGTATTTCTATTCTAATTCAGTGTTGTTAGTCCTAGTCAACTTTTGCATAATGGAAAGGCAGGATTATTACATTTTTTAATTAAAATAACTAACAGAAAAAAAAAAAAAAATATATATATATATATATATATATATATTTAAAATCCCATCTCTTTTTATTTATGCTTAGATGTTTCTATACATTCTTTGAGTCCACCTCTGCTAAATTAAACTGACTAGACATGATTCAGAAAGGCACACACCTTTTTTCAGAAAGCCTTCAAAATGACCAACTGAATAAATGAATAATGAAATATCAACACAAAAATTAAGACATGAGGTCAAAGGAGATGCTTGCACAGCTCAGCCAGGATTGTTGCTAGGCACGGGGCTGTGGAGAGTTACAAAAATGCTCCTGCTGTGCTGAAAGTTCTCAAGAGCACAATAGGCTCCATATTTGTCAAATAGAAACCTGGTGACACTGAGCAGTCGGGGGAAATGGCCTTAGGAAGAGAGGTGACCAAGAACCTGTTGATCACTGTGCCAGAACTACCGTAATTGCCGGTGTATAAGCTGATACTTTTTTCTCACACTTTGTACCCAAAATTTGATATGCAGCAGTGGCTAATTTATGCATTTCATTTAATAATTTTCATAATTTATATTTTATTTTGAAAGACTTCCTGCCGTCTCTTAGCAGCATCCTGCTGCTGACTAACATTTTCCTTTGACAGAGCTGGGCTGATGCTCATGGAACTGCCCTGATACACAGAGTGAATGCCCTCAGGTAATTACATGTACAAAGCTTCTTGCTCAGGGTTTCAAATTCCCTACCATCACTCCACCCACTCTGTAATCATGTGACCCGAAGTCTTCTGGGAAATGATGCAGACAGCACGAGGGAAAGTGACGAAAGCGACACGGAGGCGGTGTGTGATCATGTTTTTCTGAGCCTCAAAGAGAGAACTTTAGTCTCAGAACACAAAGAACATAGCGAAGAGTGACTTTTGGTCAACTACCGGTACTTTAAAAAAAATCTGTAGCCGTGTTAAAGGCTGTCCATACTCCCCTGGGTCACGACATGGGCTCCGCTGAGAAGAAATTGTATAAAGCAATCAAGTCTGGTACATACTGTATTTTAATAAAAGTTTTAAAATTCTTTCTGTGTGACATCTTTCTGTGTATGGTAAATATGTGTTTAAATACCAGTATCTCATTTAAACTCATTCTAACACGGAGTGGAGACAAAGAATGGGGGTGGGGGGGCTTCCCCCTCCCCTTCCGTCATGGGAGCTCAGCCCAGGAGATTTCAAGTCTGATTAAATTGTCACAGTTAGTCAACACTGGTACATATTTGAATAAAACTTATTTTTAATATGTGTATGGTAAATATGTGTTTAAATACCAGCACGGAGCAATTGCACAATTTCTGCCAGCACCCTGTTTGTCAACAACACCGGTGGCAGTCGTTGATAACCCGGGCCTTGACCGATCTGATATGGTATTGCTTTGATGAACTCACATATTAGTTTTGGCAAAAGTGTTTTATGTCAGATGCCATTACTGACACAACCATCACCATTTACCCAGGCTTGGAACTGGCACAAGAGGTAAATTGGCTTGTGCTCCCTAGTGGGGCTTTCTGGCAGAGTGAATAAATAGAAGCCTCTCCTCAGTGTATCTGTCTGCAGAAAATGTGGTGCAAACTCCAAAAACTTACAAGTCGTAATGGGATCAACACTGGCTTGGCCCCCGCCATTCGAACCATAGGTACATAGCAGTCAAAAAAAGGTTCGATTATGATGACCTGATGAAAAAAAAACATTACTCATTACATGCACTATGAAGACCACATTATGATTACAAATATAAACATGGGTGTAACAAGGCTGAGTCAAGTCCTCTGGATGGACCCCTCTTTGTTGAAACATTTCATCTTTTATCCAAAAGACTTCTTCAGTCTGAGGAGCTGCCACAAACCCAGTCTTATAAATAGTACCTTCTCATAGTGGATCAACCAGTTTGTTGGTGACAGCCAAAACTAGCTGTTCACATGCAACAGGAATAATGTTCAGTGTTTCCACTACTATTATCCAAGGAGAGCGCAATGTCCTGTCAACAGAACCCCCACCCCATGAGACAAGTGCCCTCCTAAGGCAAGTGATCTTGGGGAAACACTGATGTTGCATGAAGTATTTTGGATAAAAGACAAAACATTTAAACAAAGACGAATGAGTCCAGACTAGATTTACCTACTTGGATTATTGTGCATACATCAAGACAAACAGGTGCTTAGAAACAGTGACAAGAAGACAGAAATGTCCTCACCTCATCTCCTTCTTCGATCAGGCCCTGCATGGTGCTGAATAACGACCCATAACCCCCCACTGTGACCAGGATTTCCTTGTAGGGGTCAATCTGACGTTCATAGACCTTCCCATATACCTGAGAGAGGGCTTTCACTAGAGATGGATGGCCCTGCTCAATCAGAAAAGCAGTGCACACATTAGTGAACTTCTGACAACAGCAAACTTTTGGCATGGATGATTATAACTGGGCTGTAATCAGTTGTCAGTTATAATCATCAACATTAAAGGAGATAAACATTTGAAATATATCAATCTGTGTGTAACGAATGAATTTTAACTTTTTTAATGGAATTACTGAAATAAATCAACCTTTTCATGATATTCTACAGGTCCTTCTCAAAAAATTAGAATCTTGTGATAAAGGTCATTATTTTCCATAATGTAATGATAAAAATTAAACTTTCATATATTTCAGATTCATTGCACACCAACTGAAATATTTCAGGTCTTTAATTGTTTTAATACTGTTGATTATGGCATACAGCTCATGAAAACCCAAAATGCCTGTCCCAAAAAAATTAGCATATCATGAAAAGGTTCTCTAAACAAGCTATTAACCTAACCATCTGAACCAACGACGTAACTCTAAACACTTGCAAAAGATTCCTGAGGCTTTTAAAAACTCACAGCCTTGTTCATTACTCAAAACCGCAATCATGGGTAAGACTGCCGACCTGACTGCTGTCCAGAAGGCCATCATTGACACCCTCAAGCAAGAGGGTAAGACACAGAAAGAAATTGCTGAACGAATAGGCTGTTCCCAGAGTGCTGTATCAAGGCACCTCAGTGGGAAGTCTGTGGGAAGGGAAAAGTGTGGCAGAAAACGCTGCACAACGAGAAGAGGTGACCGGACCCTGAGGAGGATTGTGGAGAAGGGCCGATTCCAGACCTTGGGGGACCTGCGGAAGCAGTGGACTGAGTCTGGAGTAGAAACATCCAGAGCCACCGTGCACAGGCATGTGCAGGAAATGGGCTACAGTTGCCGCATTCCCCAGGTCAAGCCAATCTTGAACAAGAGACTGTGTCAGAAGCATCTCGCCTGGGACTGCTGCTGAGTGGTCCAAAGTTATGTTCTATGATTACAGTAAATTTTGCATTTCCTTTGGAAATCAAGGTCCCAGAGTCTGGAGGAAGAGAGGAGACACAGAATTCACATTGCTTGAGGTCCAGTGTCAAGTTTCCACAGTCACTGGGGTGTCATGTCATGTGCTGGTGTTGGTCCACTGTGTTTTATCAAGCGCAGGGTCAATGCAGCTAGCTATCAGGAGATTTTGGAGCACTTCATGCTTCCATCTGCTGAAAAGCTTTATGGAGATGAAGATTTCATTTTTCAGCACGACCTGACACCTGCTCACAGTGCCAAAACCACTGGTAAATGGTTTACTGACCATGGTATTACTGTGCTCAATTGGCCTGCCAACTCTCCTGACCTGAACCCCATAGAGAACCTGTGGGATATTGTGAAGAGAAAGTTGAGAGACGCAAGACCCAACACTCTGGATGAGCTTAAGGCTGCTATTGAAGCATCCTGGGCCTCCATAACACCTCAGCAGTGCCACAGGCTGATTGCCTCCATGCCACGCCGCATTGAAGCAGTCATTCATGCAAAAGGATTCCCGACCAAGTATTGAGTGCATAACTGAACATGATTATTTGAAGGTTGCCGTTTTTAGTATTAAAAACACTTGTCTTTCATTGGTGGGATGAAATATGCTAATTTTTTGGGACAGGCATTTTGGGTTTTCATGAGCTGTATGCCATAATCATCAGTATTAAAACAATTAAAGACCTGAAATATTTCAGTTGGTGTGCAATGAATCTGAAATATATGAAAGTTTCATTTTTATTATTACATTATGGAAAATAATGACCTTTATCACAATATGCTAATTTTTTGAGAAGGACCTGTAATTTTATGATCAGCATCTGTATACACTTCTCATTTTCACCCCTAAAATGCTGTAACCAGTCGTAATTGTACAATGTATCCAGCAGAGGGTGTATGAAGAATACTTTCAAGTCATGACTTTAAGTTTCACTTTTATTGTTCATCACAGATGAAGCAGGGAGCAATGTTGTGTAGTGTATTTTGCTGAACAGAGCATGGTAAGTTCATTTTAACTGATATGTAACAAAATTCAACAATAATAAATTCTCTTCAGTCCTCCAACCTGCTTGTCATTAGCTACGTGCCTCTCAAGTTAGCAAGCTAATGTTAGTGTCCAGCTGCACCGCCTTCAAGACATTAGCACATCAGTAGTTAGAACAACCAGTCCTGTCAGATTGAGCTTCCAGTTTGTGAGTACATCCAGTGTTAGTAACTTTATATTTGTTGTTCTCAATAAAATGCATTGCTTGTCTGAAATCTTTACTTCTCTACAAAGAAAAATTAACGCCAATGAAGTCAGTACTAGTTAGACCTTCACCATACGTGACTGATTCTTTAAACAATGAACAGGAAGGGTGTTTCTTTGTTTAATTTATATTTTTGCAACACACTTTATGGTGAATAGTGGAGGATATAAAATGTGAATGCAGTTTAGGAAGACTGTTTTTATGACTAGTGCTCCACTTGTAAACCTACTGTGGGAAAGTATAGTCAGAATCAGAATAAGCTTTATTATCATTGTACTAGGCCCTGTGATGGACTTGGGACATGTCCAGGGTGTACCCCGCCCCTCATACAGTGATTACTGGACAAGTGCACCAGCAACCCCCGTGACCCAAAATGGAAGAAGCGGGTAAAAGATAATGGATGGATGGATAAATCGTTGTACTGGGATACAGTGAAATTATGTTTGTACAGTCGTCCAAAAGATGGGCTTGCTCTACCAGCAAGCACATTTATAAACATGATTACATATGCATTTAACGTCAAGACGTTGAGATTTGTCCAGGAGCACTTTCAGATACACCACAGTCCTGAAGTTGTTGTTCAGCTGGCAGTTCTGATAAGCCTGCACAGAAGTTCTCGGTGTGTGTGTGTGTGGGGGGGGGGGGGGGGGGATAGACAAAGCTTAGTCCCTAGTTACCCATGTCCCAGGAGAAATTTGATAGTTGTCTCGTATCTGAGGTCAAATGGGGGGGTGAGATTCAGATAAACCAGAATTGTTGATTTTTCTTCAGGCATACTGTATTTTTTTCTTGTCAGCCTTGAGTCAAGCTGGAATGTTCCTGGTCCAAAATGGCCAGATTTATGGGTATTCCACTCCACTGATCAGTGTTATGAGCCTTCCTCAAGGACGATCCCAACATGCTGGTGAGTCCTAGAAGCCGCAGGTGGCTTGCGATTCTCACAAATCGCCTCCATCTTATGGTTTAGCTTGTAAATCAGCTGATTTTGAGCACTCATAGAACGAACCAAACCTTCACACTGACTCGGAAGCTTTGCCGTGGCCGAAATTGCTGCCAATGTCTTCTTCATAAGTTGATAAAACAGAGCCCCACCGATGCCAAAGAGCAGAAACCCTGCTATCATAAAGCCAAATATATAAACGTCTTCAGCATCCTCCTGAGACAGAACTGGGAGACACTTCAGCTGCCAAACTCCCCACGGATCTCTGATGTACCCCGGGACAAGAGGGTTCTCCAGGACCCTGTCGTTTTGTTGAAAATATTTTTTCAATTGCGTTGAAAGTCCAGCTCACCAGATCCATAATAGTATTTTTTGTTCGGCAGATGTATACCAGGAGCTCCAAACACAGAGAACAAAAGCAGAAGAGGAGAACAGGGGGAGGGAGAGCAGAAGCGTCCATCTTGAGCGAGAACCAGAGCATAGTGTAGATCTGATTAGCTTAGATTCATGGGTGCTAACAGCTGAGCTAAATATACAAACCTTGCTCCATTGGCAGTTTTCTTAGATTCCTGGGGGTGGACAAAGCTCAAAAATTTTCAGCCATTATAACGGTTATCGGTGGGCGCCTCCCCTCCCAATATTGATAGCCAAAATTTTCACATCGGTCGGGATCTAATTTTTACAGCATCGCAAGTAAATTTTCATAAATTAAACAATTGTTATAAGGTTACTCTATACATAAAAATATAAAAAATAAAGTTGTGTGCTTTATATAATCAATCTTGAGTAAAAGCAGCTATGCAGGAGGTTTTACTTAATGTCAGAACTGGTGAGTCCGACATGAAACAGCAGTCAAATTCAGACTAAACACCATAATTTTACATCTCAACAGCAAGCCAGAGGGGAGCAAAGCACAACATGAAATGCTTCCAGTGAATTTGAGCTCTCGACGTTTTTAACAACGACATTTGTTGATTGTTTGTTTTCTTGTAAACAATAGTGAGTCACTGCCAATGTTGTTGAAACTTACAAAGCCTCGGGTGTACTGGTTCATGCGATCCACTGATACAGCCTTCATTAGAGCCTCCTTGACGTAAGAAGGTGGAGGGATGTCTGGATAGCCTTGACCGAGGTTAACGATGGAGGGGTCGGCTGCCACCGATGTAAACTCCACCCTGCGGCAAAGAAATTAAGCTTTACTCAACTTTATGGGGTTGGCATACGTATGTTTTGGTTCTACAGTGAAAAAAAACAAACTTTTAAATAGTTCACAACTAACACTCAAAAACTTCCCTGATCTGGACTCAGGTTGAAAACCCTCCTATGGTAATGTTTATAAGTACATTTCAAACTTTTATACTAGTAATTAGTAACTGTCTGTGGACTTTTCTCATAATTTGTGTTAAATCTATTGTTTTTAGAATGATTTGACACAACTCCTCACTTATTATTATTTCATTTTTTCCCTCTTCTGGAGTCACTAGAGTAAGTCATCCTCCTCCATCTCACTCTGTCCTCTGCATCGTCTACCTCCATGTCCTCTCTAACTGCGTCCATACAGGGGCTGGTCATAAAATTAGAAAATCATGAAAAAGTTGATTTATTTTAGCAATTCCATTCATGAAGTGAAACTTGTATATTATATTCATTCATTACACACAGACTGATATATTTCAAATGTTTATTTCTTTTAATGTTGATGATTATAACTGACAACTAACGCAAACCCCAAATTCAGTATCTCAGAAAATTAGAATATTGTGAAAAGGTTCAATATTGAAGACACCTGGTGCCACAGTCTAATCAGCTAATTAAATCGAAACACCTGCAAAAGCCTTTGAACAGTCTCTCGGTTTAGTTCTGTAGGCTACACAATAATGAGGAAGACTGCTGACTTGACAGTTGTCCAAAAGACGAACACTGACACCTTGCACAAGGAGGTCAAGACACAAAAGGTCATTGCTAAAGAGGCTGGCTGTTCACAGAGCTCTGTGTCCAAGCACATTAATAGAGAGGTGAAGGGAAAGAAAAGATGTTGTAGAAAAAAAAGTGTACAAGCAATAGTGATAACTGCACCCTGGAGAGGATTATGAAAAAAAACCCATTCCAAAATGTGGGGGAGATTCACAAATACTGGACAGCAGCTGGAGTCAGTTCTTCAAGAACCACCACGCTCAGACGTATGCAAGACATGGGTTTCAGCTGTAGCATTCCTTGTGTCAAACCACTCTTGAACAAGAGACAGCGTCAGAAGCGTTTCGCCTGGGCTAAAGACAAAAAGGACAACTGCTGCTGAGTGGTCTAAAGTTATGTTCTCTGATGAAAGTAAAATTTGCATTTCCTTTGGAAATCAAGGTCCCAGAGTCTGGAGGAAGAGAGGAGAGGCACAGAATCCATGTTGCTTGAAGTCCAGTACCAAGTTTCCACAGTCAGTGATGGTTTGGGGTGCCATGTCATTTGCTGGTGTTGGTCCACTGTGTTTTCTGAGGTCCAAGGTCAATGCAGCCATCTGCGAGGAAGTTTTAGAGCACTTCATACTTCCTGCTGCTGACCAACTTTATGGAGATGCAGATTTCATTTTCCAACAGGTCATGGCACCTGCACACAGTGTCAAAACTACAAACCGGATTCCAAAAAAGTTGGGACACTAAACAAATTGTGAATAAAAACTGAATGCAATGATGTGGAGGTGCCAGCATCTAATATTTTATTCAGAATAGAACACAAATCACAGATCAAAAGTTTAAACTGAGAGAATGTATCATTTTAAGGGAAAAATCTGTTGTTTCCAAATTTCATGGCGTAAACAAATCCCAAAAAGTTGGGACAAGTCCATTTTTACCACTGTGTGGCATCCCCCCTTCTTCTTACAACACTCAACAGACGTCTGGGGACAGAGGAGACCAGTTTCTCAAGTTTAGAAATAGGAATGCTCTCCCATTCATGTCTAATACAGGCCTCTAACTGTTCAATCGTCTTGGGCCTTCTTTGTTGCACCTTCCTCTTTATGATGCGCCAAATGTTCTCTATAGGTGAAAGATCTGGACTGCAGGCTGGCCATTTCTGTACCCGGATCCTTCTCCTACGTAGCCATGATGTTGTGATTGCTGCAGAATGTGGTCTGGCATTATCATGTTGAAAAATGCAGGGTCTTCCCTGAAAGAGATAACGTCTAGATGGGAGCATATGTTGTTCTAGAACCTGAACATAGTTCTCTGCATTAATGGTGCCTTTCCAGACATGCAAGCTGCCCGTGCCACAAGCGCTCATGCAACCCCATACCATCAGTGATGCAGGCTTCTGAACAGAGCGTTGATAACAACTTGGGTTATCCTTGTCCTCTCTGGTCCGGATGACATGGCGTCCCAGTATTCCATAAAGAACTTCAAATCTTGACTCATCTGGCCACAGAACAGTCTTCCATTTTGCCACACTTCATTTTAAATGACCCCTGGCCCAGTGCAAACGTCTGAGCTTGTGGAGCTTGCTTAGAAATGGCTTTGTCTTTGCACTGTAGAGTTTCAGCTGGAAATGGCGGATGGCACAGTGGATTGTGTTCACTGACAATGCTTTCTGGAAGTATTCATGAGCCCATTCTGTTATTTCCTTGACAGTGGCATTCCTGTTTGAGGTGCAGTGACGTTTAAGGGCCCGGAGATCACGAGCATCCAGTAGAGTTTTACGGCCTTGACCCTTACGCACAGCGATTGTTCCAGATTCTCTGAATCTTTTGATGATGTTATGCACAGTTGATGATGATAACTTAAAAGTCTTTGCTATTTTACGCTGGGTAACACCATTCTGGTATTGCTGCACTATCTTTCTGCGCAACAATGGTGAAATTGGTGATCCTCTTACCATCTTGGCTTCTGAGAGACACTGACACTCTGAGAAGCTCTTTTTTATACTCAATCACATTGTCAATTGACCTAATTAGTGTTAATTGGTCTTCCAGCTGTTCGTTATATGCTAAATTTCCTTTTTCCAGCCACTTATTGCTACCTGTCCCAACTTTTTTGGGATTTGTTGACACTGTGAAATTTTGAATCAACATATTTTTCCTTTAAAATGTTACATTTACTCAGATTAAACTTTTGATCTGTCATCTATGTTATAATACGAATAAAATATTGCCATTCGCCATCTCCACATCATTGTATTCAGTTTTTATTCACAATTTGTTTAGTGTCCCAACTTTTTTGGAATCCGGTTTGTACCAGTACCTGGTTTAAGGACCATGGTATCCCTGTTCTCAATTGGTCAGCAAACTCGCCTGACCTTAACCCCATAGAAAATCTATGGAGTATTGTGAAGAGGAAGATGCAGGAAGATATGCCAGACCCAACAATTCAGAAGAGCTGAAGGCCACTATCAGAGCAACCTGGGCTCTCATAACACCTGAGTAACATTGTGCACTTTTTGTACAGTACATATACGTGTGTTGTTTAAATTACATAGATTGCGGGAGTGTGGGAAGGGTTTATAAATCCTTAAATATATAAGTAAATACTAAAATAAATATAGTGTTCCTACTTTGTGGTTTTTCACCTATCGTGGTGGTGTCTGGAGATCATCAGAGGTACAGCACAGGTTGAACAACTGGGAGATAAAATTAGAGCGGCTAGACAGACATGGTTTGGACATGTCCAGAGAAGGGACAGTGGTTTGGACATGTCCAGAGGAGGGACAGTGGTTTGGACATGTCCAGAGGAGGGACAGTGGTTTGGACATGTCCAGAGGAGGGACAGTGGGCATATTGGTAGAAGGATGTTAGAAATGCAGCTGCCAGGAAAAAGACTAAGAGGAAGGCCAAAGAGAAGATAAATGGATGCAGTTAGAGAGGACATGGAGGTAGTTGGAGTGAGGACAGAAGATCCAGAGGACAGAGCGAGATGGAGGAGGATGACTCACTGTGGTGACACCTGAAGAGGGAAAAGCTGACAGAAGAAGAAGTGGTGGTGTCTGGAACATAAACCCCGTGATAATCGAGGGACTACTGTCGTCTGCTTCCAGAAACAGATCTATTTTTAAAACTAAATTCTGCAGAATTCTTCCAGTATTTAGATTGAAAAAAGTCATGGAAAAGCACTATCCAGTGGATCAAAATGATCCAAAACAAAGTCTGTAAGAAGAGGCTGGTCTTGCCGTCCATGAATAAATACATTTATTGGGAACTGCCTAGAAAGGCAGCCTTAGGGTCTTGCTCTTCCCTAAACTTTAATGAGGCTCATACCGCAATGGCTACCCCATAAATGTTATATCAAAACGACCAGCTCGGCCCCATGATGTGTGGTATCGCTTTTATTGGTGTTTTGAGTTACCCTGGTGATGTAATTATCAAACAAAGACACAATTTTTCTCAATGAAAAACCCTGACGGAACTCTTCACAGCCTCTAACTTGCCAGAGTGAGGTCACACGACTTCGATTGAAGAGGTCTCTGAATAAAACACTGACTTTTGGAGCCATTTTGGTTTAAGATGGCTGCCACAGCTAACTCAGAAAACACAAAATCGACTATAACTCAGTCGTTCTTTGAGATATTGAGCTGAAATATGGTATGGTTGTAGCTGAGAGTGGGTTGTTATACATTCTTCATGAAAATTAAAAAAACAAGATGACCTTAGCTAAAAGGGAAAACATATGATAACTCAGCTATTTTAAAAGATATTGAGCTGAAATCTGGTGTGGTGGTACCTGATAGTGATGCACAACACATTCTGAATTCAAATCTAAAAATTCAAAATGGCCACCAAAGCTAATTTCAAATAAGAGGTTTTTAGAGCTATTTAACTGAAATTGGGTGTATTGGTAGCTGAGAACAATCCCTAATAGACTCTGATTGCAAATCAAAAATCCAAGAAAGCCACGTGAGCTAAAAAGGAAGAATATTATAAATCATCCATTTTTAGATATTAAGCTAAAATTTGGTGTGGTGATAGCTGAGTGCAATGCCCAATAAATACTGAATTCAAATAAAAATACAAGATGGCCACCAAAGCTACATTTCAACGGCTTTAGCTCAGCTATTTTTACACATATTGAGCTGAAACTTAACCCAACCAGCCACTAGGGAGCACAAGCCAGTCTTGTGCCATTCCCAAGCCTGGGTAAATGGTGAAGTTTGTGTCAGGAATGGCATCCAATGTAAAACACTTTTGCCAAAACTATAATGTGAGTTCATCAAAGCGAAACCATACCAGATCGGTCGAGGCCTGGGTTAACAACGACTGCCACAGGTGCTGTTGAAAAACAGGGTGCCGGCGAAAATTGTGCTACTGTTAGTTGAAGACCAAGAGGAGGGAAACGTGTCAGGAGACAGAGGGAGAAGAGGAAAGTGAAGAATGTAAGACTGAGGGTGGCAACTCTAAATGTGGGGACAATGACATGCAAAGGTAGAGAGCTGGCTGACATGATGCAGAGAAGGAAGGTAGATGTTTTATGTGTCCAAGAGACCAAGTGGAAGGGCAGCAAGGCTTGAAGCATTGGAGAAGGGTTCAAACTGTTTTACCATGGTGTGGATAGAAAGAGAAATGGAGTAGGGGTGGTCCTTAAGGAGGAGTTGGCAAAGAATGTAGTAGAGGTGAAGAGAGTGTCAGATAGGGTGATGTGCCTGAAGGTAGAAGTAGAAGGTCTGATGCTAAACATCATCAGTGGTTAAGCTCCACAGGTTGGATGTGATGAGGAGGAGAAAGATACATTTTGGAAAGATCTGGATGAAGTGTAGAGAATATTCCCAGGGAGGAGAGAGTGGTGATCGGAGCAGACCTGAATGGACATTTTGGTGAAAGAAAGAGATGGGATGAGGAAGTGATGGGTAGGTTTGGTGTCAAGGAAAGAAACCAGGAAGGACAGATGGTGGTTGACTTTGCCAAGATAATGGAAATGGCTGTAGTCGATACCTATTTCCAAAAGAGAGAGGAACATAGAGTGACCTATAAGAGTGGAGGAAGGAGTACGCAGGTAGACTACATTCTGTGCAGAAGAGGAAACCTGGAGGAGATTGGAGACAGTACGGTTGTGGCAGGGGAGAGCGTGGCCAGACAGCATCGGATGGTTGTGTGTAGAATGACTGTTGTTGTGAAGAAGAGAAAAAGAGTAACATCAGAAAAGAACACCAAATGGTGGAAACTGAAGAAGGAAGAATGTTGTGAGAAATTCAGAGAGGAGCTGTTAAAGGCTCTGGGTGGTAAGAAAGAGCTTCCAAATGACTGGACTACTACAGCAACAGTAATTAGAGAAACAGGTAGGAAGGTACTTGGTGTGTCATCTGGACAGAGAATGATAAGAAAACATTGTGGTGGAATAGTGAAGTGCAGGACGCTGTTCAAAGAAAGAGATTAGCCAAGAAGAAATATGACGGTGAGAGGACTGAAAAGAGGAGATAAGAATATAAGGAGATGGGATGTAGAGCAAAGTGTGAGGTAGCTAAGGCAAAGCAGAGGGCGTACGATGAGTTGTATGGGAGACTGGACAGTAAAGAGGGCGAGAAGGCCTTGTACTGATTGGCAAGACAGAGGGATCAGGCTGGAAAGAATGTGCAGCAGGTTAGGCTTATTAAAGATAGGAAATGTAATGCTCTAACAAGTGAGGAGAGTGTGACGGGAAGATGGAAGGAGTACTTTGAGGAGCTAATGAATGAAGAGAATGAAAGAGAAAGAAGAGTAGAGGTCATAAAAACTGTGGACCAGGAAGTGGGAAAGATTAGTGAGGGTGAAGTCCGGAAAGCTCTGAAAAGAATGAAGAAGGGGAAGGCAGTAGGACCTGATGACATACCAGTGGAGGTTTGGAAATGTCTTGGTGAGATGGCAGTGAGGTTTTTGACTCAAATATTCAATGGCATATATGAGGGTGAGAAAATGCCTGAGGAATGGAGAAGAAGTGTGCTGGTGCCCATGTTTAAGAACAAGGGTGATGTACAGAGTTGTAGCAACTACAGGGGAATTAAGTTGATGAGTCACACACTGAAGATCTGGAAGAGAGTTGTGGAAGCAAGACTTCGACAAGAGGTGACTATCTGTGAGAAGCAGTATGGTTTCATGCCAAGTAAGAGCACCACAGATGCCATATTTGCTTTGAGAATGCTGATGGAGAAGTACAGAGAGGGTGAGAAAGAACTCCATTGTGTCTTTATGGATTTAGAAAAAGCATATGACAGAGAGCCGAGGGAGGAGGTGTGGTATTGCATGAGGAAATCTGGAGTGGCAGAAAAGTATGTTAGACTGGTAGAGGACATGTATGAGGACAGCCGGACAGCGGTGAGATGTGCTGTAGGAGTGACAGATAGCTTCAAGGTGGAGGTGGGATTGCATCAAGGATCGGCTCTGAGCCTCTTCTTGTTTACTTTGGTGATGGACTGATTAACAGATGAGGTCAGGCAAGAATCCCCATGGACGATGATGTTTGCAGATGACATTGTGATCTGTGGTGAGAACATGGAACAGGTGGAAGAGAACTTGGAGAGGTGGAGGTATGCACTTGAAAGAAGAGGAGTGAAAGTCAGTCGTAGTAAGACAAAGCACATGTGTGTGAATGAGAGGGAGGAGGTGGAACAGTGAGGCTACATGGAGCAGAGGTCACAAAGGTGCAGGACTTCAAGTACTTGGGGTCCACTGTCCAGGAAAATGGGGAATGTGGTAAAGAGGTGAAAAAGAGAGTCCAGGCAGGATGGAGTGGATGGAGAAAAGTTTCCAGAGTGATTTGTGACAAAAGGGTGTCAGCAAAGGTCAAAGGAAAAGTTTACAAGACAGTGGTGAGACCATCTATGTTGTATGGTCTAGAGACAGTGGCATTGACAAAAAGATTGGAGAAAGAACTGGAAGTGGCAGAAATGAAGATGCTAAGGTTCTCCTTAGGAGTGATGAGGCTGGATAAGATTAGAAATGAGATCATCATAGGTACAGCCCAGGTTGAACAACTGGGAGATAAAGTTAGGGGGGCCAGACTGAGATGGTTTGGACATGTCAAGAGGAGGGACCGTGGGTATATATTGGTAGAAGGATGTTAGAAATGCAGCTGCCAGGAAAAGACAAAGAGGAAAGCCAGAGAGAAGATATATGGATGCAGTTAGAGAGGACATGGGGGTAGTTGGAGTGAGGACAGAGGATGCAGAGGACAGAGTGAGGTGGAGGAGGATGACTCACTGTGGCGACCCCTGAAGAGGGAAAAGCCGAAAGAAGAAGAAGAGGTGAAATTTAACCATGTACTGTGAAAGTGACAGTGGTGCACAGATTTAAAGTGTAAAATAACAAATACATTCACTTACCAAACGTTCTTGTCCAGCCCCTCAATTCTTTTAGCGTGCGTGTGCCTCGACGCCATTATGTGCTGCAAGACAACCAAATGTATGACACAGCACCGAACTAGCTTCATGTTTGGCACTACCTGCACAGAGAGCGTGGTAACAACAGACCAAAGGGCAGATGTGCAGAAGGAAATGTGGATAAAGGGATAATTACAAGTTTACTTTTCGAGAATCCCACCTTTTAGCATTTCAACAACTTATGTCAAACCTTGAACAGTTCCAAACATGCGGTACGTTTTGACTAAATTTAAAGCTTTCTGAAGTGGACTCACCTGCGAAGTACAAACCCTTCTTCTGCAGGTTAACTGAGCTGAATGACGTATAAATCTGGAGCAGTTCTGGATCTGCCGTGCAGTGCTCATCCTGAAAAAAAAACACCAAGAGGATTTTACACCATTTCAACTAGTTCTTTCTCTCTCATTTTACAGTCCACACTTAATAGCTCGGTGACATAACCAGTTCAAATATTGATCCTTTGATATGTGCATACTAGGTATCATATCATCTAAAAAAAAAATAACAGCTGCTTTGAAAGTACTGCTTTTAAGCTGTATTGTGTAATTTTTTTTTTTTTTTCATTTTCATTTAGCCTTTATTTATACAGGTTAGTCTCATTTAGCCACGAGAACTCATTTTCAAGAGAGACCTGTTTAGGGAGCATATGGTGGGTGTTAAGGGCCTTGCTCATGGGCCCAGAGTGGGGCGAATGAGGGTGGGGGCAAGTGTGGATGTTTCACCTACCCCACCCACAATTTTGATGTTGTCGGGGCCGGGGCGTGAACCGGCGATCTTCGGATCAGAAGCCCACCTCTCTAACCTCTGCGCCACCACTCCCCCAATAAGTAATAAGTGGAACTTTTACATTTAACAGTGATGGTACTTTATAATACTAAATCGTGACAATGTAACAAAAAGTAGATAGTATTGAAAATCTGGAGTAAATTCTTACAGCAGTTGTTGACAAACTGCATATTTATCCTCATCCTTATTTTTACAACAAATACTGAAAACAAAGAGAAGTTTCCCTTCAGTATTTTAACAATGCACTTGGAAATTAAACCGTGAACTAAAATTGTACTTATTACTTCAAACTATGCTGTTTTGTTTCAAATATTGAGTATATACTTTTTGCCTAGCTAAAAAGATAATTTTGTAATCTAATACCTTCAAATTACCCTCAAATTTATTATGGATCATTTAAATGTGATCTGTTTTTTGACACCACCATCTTGGGCCTCATCACCCACGATGACGAGATGCCTACAGAGATGAGGTGAAATCACTGACCAGCTGGTGTCAGAAAAATAACCTCTCTCTGAATGGCAGCAAAATGAAGGAGATGATAGTGGACTTCAGGAGACAGTGTGTAGGCCAGCACTCCACCATCTACATAAACAATTCTTAGGTGGAGCAGGTCAGCAGCTTCAAGTTCCTCAGCGTTCACATCACTGAGGATTTGTCCTGAACATTACATACAGACACTGTGGTCAAGAAAGCCTGACAAAAACTCTACTTCCTAAGAAGACTAAAGAAGTTTTGTACAAACACAAGGATCTTCACCAACTTCTATAGGTGCACCATTGACTGCCTGTTGACAAGCTGCATCACAGGGTGGTATGGGAACTGCACCAGTCTGAAAGCTCCACATAGAGTGGTGTCAACAGCAGAGGATATCACTGGTAGCAGTCTCCACACCATCCAGAGCATCTACCACAGCTACTGTCTGCATAAAGCACGCAGCATCATTAAGGACCACACCCACTCAGCACAAAGACTCTGCAGTCTACAACCCTCAGGCAGACGATACAAGTCTGTCATTGTGTACAAAAAGACTCAAAGACAGTTATTACCCACAAGCTGTCAGATTACTGAACTCGATAATAACACTGAACAACTGACAACATCGCACCAAGCCACATCTGTGACACCCAATATGTTTATCAGCGATGCACTACGTGGCTGTATCCTTTATGTCACTACCTTTCCATCATAATTCATCTCAGTGTTACTCACTACCTGTGCAATAACCTGCCACACAACTTGTGTAGTATTTGTTAGTTATGTGCAATATACATCATGTACATTCAAGCTTATGCTACTACCTTGAAATACTAAATTTATACTAATTCATCCTGCTTGCACCGTTATATTCTACCATGTTGTCCTTTACTATATTTCAATTCAACCTTTATTTATACAGGCTAACCTCACTGAGCCACGAGGACTCATTTCTGTTCCAGACAGAATATATAAAGTATTTATTAGGACATTGTTATATTTCTTTTTCACTTTTAGGTACTTTATTTGTCGTTTTATTGCATGCTTTAGTATTTCTTGTTTTTTCTTAGTGAGTCGAATCAGTTCTTCTCCTGCTGAACATGTCATTGTTGACCTTGTGTTAACCTGCAAACAACATACATGTAGACCTGAGGCTCCAACAGCAGGGGGCGCCGCTGCGCTTCATAAACAAGCAGCGGGTTTTATCATCATAACTTGTTTTAAATTACACTTAGGGGCACTCGTGAAAAATATTAAAATGTATAATAATAGGCAACGTGTCACATAACGAATCGCGCTGAGCTGGTGTTCATTAGGCCGCTGATTCTCACAAGCTGTTAATGAACTGTGTTGATGTGCAGCCTCACAGCTAGCTAGCTTTAGCTCACTAGCAAACGTTGAATGACGGGTCGTCACCAGCTCTGTGAAGGAAGAGCCAGCTGTCAGCCCTTCTTTAAAACGCTCATAACACGCACAGAGCAGCAACAACTTACTGTAAGCACAGTTTCAACAGAGCTCCAGTGAATTCAGGAGGAACAGAAGTCCACAGAGTAATGACCCACCGCCGCGGGAGCGCGCACAGCCTGTCAGCGCGTGCTCCCGACAGGAGTCGCTGTGTCAGCTCTTCGAAATACAACGATGAACTCCTAAAGATGATTATTTGTTTGCTGCAGATTAAAGCAAAGGTGTGTCTCTGTTCACTTTTATTTTTATTTTTTCATAAACTCGCGATATTCTCTCCGTGAGTGTCGGTCTTACTGAAATGTGATAAATCTGTGGACCATGTTTGTCTGAATCATCACACGTGCTGCTCTTTTTATTGTCCCAGAACCTTCAGAGATCAAACAGATCATATATACAAACTATCAAACCCAACAAATGTGATTACAGTGACAGGACTCCCAGCATTGTATTATTATTTTTTGTTATAACATTTTTATATTAAAATATATATTATAGGAAGCATAGGCGTCACAACCAATGTGTCCCCCAAATATTACCTTAGATATGTTGTTTTTATAGCCATAAATAATAGTAATCATAATAATTTTGTGCTATTTGAACAGTTCATATACCAAAACGTTCAGCTCTTTCAGGAGACTATGACTTTAGCTTTTAGAGATATTTAGCCTTTTCTGATTTAGAATTTTATTGATTCTGATTGTGTTTATGTTTTTGTTATTATTGTTCCTTGACTTTTGACACAAGGCCATCAGATCTGATTTAGTATTTCATTGTTTCTAATTATGTTTTCTGTTTTATATTTTATTCCATGCGCTGTAAATATATCTTGTTACTTTTTATTAGATGTTGTGATATTTTTGTTAAGCACTTTGGTAACAGTTTCTGTTTTAAATGTGCTCTATAAATAAATATGACTGGACTTTTCTGCCATTTTGGCTCTCATTGAAAATGAATGGAGCTCAGTTAAGGTTTATATTTTAACAGGATTTTTTTTTTCTTTTGAAATCACTTTGTCTCACTCTGGAATTACATTTATATGATTCAAGCTCATGCAGTCATTGTAACCTTGATATATGTTTGTTAACATAATTTTTTTTAAACAATTTTTCTTCAAAAACAAATATTTTCACTCCACGTTTAGTAACAGCAACACAGAAACTTCCATCACATCATTGTAATCAATAAATGAAAAATGAAACATTTTTACCTGGTTTAATGAAACACATCTTTGTATTCAACATTAAAATTTAACATTAAATATTTATCAAAAATGTATATGTTGTACCGGTGGTATGTTTACAAGTTAAAACCAGGGCAACAGCACACGCATGTAAACTTTTATAACTGAGTACATATATACATCGTAAGGATTGTGTGTTTACAATACATATACAATATAATATTTACAGTAACATGTACTAAAACCAAAACACAAAACTGTGTACAATACCATTTTAGTCAAGGCCAAAGTAACTTTAATTTACATGCTGCACAAACATGTTTCCCTTTTCTGCCTCTACGTGGCCTCTTCAGACACTTTTGATGCTTCCACCTCAGACACACATCACATCCAAACTGAACAGGGGAAAAACTATTTAAATAAACAGTAATTCATTATATTGTTTTTGAAAATTACTATCACAGCATGTCATTCTGCTTTTTTTCCCCACAATGATTTGAATGATGTCAAACCACTCAGAAACATACAAACACCACAGAGTGCACCATCTATCATTCCACAACAGTGGCAAAGATCAGTCAAGTTGTCTACATGCAATAAAAACTTAAGATATATAGAGCAAAATAAAATGTCCAGACCATACAGGAGTCTGTCATCGCGTACAAAAAGACAAAAGGACAGTTATTATCCACAAGCTGTCAGATTACTAAACTCTTGATAAATAACACTGAACAACTGGCAATAACTAATAATTCAACCTCAATGTCTCTACCTGTGCAATAACCTGCCACACAACCAGTGTGGTATATGTTGATTATGTGCAGTATATATATATATATATATATATATATGTATATGTGTGTGTGTGTGTGTATCATGTGCATTTTAGCTTATAATACAACCTCTCGAAATACTTATTAATTCAAATTCATCCTGCTGCACCATTCTACCATGTTGTTGCTCACTATCTCTCTTTAGGACATTGTAAATATTTTAATTACTTTTTTCACTTTTTGGTACTTTTTTTTGTGTACTCTTATTGCATGCTTTTAGTATTTCTTGTTTGTTCTTTGAATTTTTAGCGAGTCAAATCGGTTCTTCTCATCCTAAACATTTCATTGTACAGGGCCGGCTGTGGCTGAGTGGTTAGAGCAGTCATCCTCCAATGCGAGAGTTACCATACCATACCACTTTATTTATAAAGCACTTAAAACAGCGACAAGGCCAACCAAAGTGCTGTACAGACAAAACAACAGGTAACACACAAAGCAAAACACAAAATGAGGTAAATCAGAATATAGACATAAAAATGATGCAGATAATGACGACAAACCAGTGTAGAGCGTACAGGATCAAAACACAGATCATCTTGTGTTGAAAGCTACTGAATAGTAGTGAGTTTTTAAACGGGACTTGGAAACCGAGAGGGAGGGGGCCTGTCTGACAAGCAGAGGTAACTCGTTCCAAAGTCTTGGTCCAGCTACAGAGAAGGCCCTGTCACCTCTGCGCTTAAGACGAGTTCCTGGAACTGTGAGGAGCAACTGGTCCGCTGTCCTCAGGGAACGTGGTGGGACATACGGTTGTAGCAAATCAGAGAGATGGGGGGTGGGTGGGGCAACACTGTTCAGTGATTTGTAGACATACATGAGTTAGGGGTTTGAATCCACCAGCAGTCACATGTTGAAGACGCTGAACCCCTCATAGCCTCTGATGTGTGTCCCATCAGTGTATGAATGTGATCTATTACAAAAGCACTGATTAGGCTCATTAGAATGATTTGTTCAATTAGCTTTGTAGAGGTGTATGAATGGGTAAATGAGGACACAGACTGTAGTGTAAAGCGCTTTGAGTATCTTGAAATAAGTAGAAAGGCGCTATATAAGTACAGTCCGTTTACCATTTACTGTTCAAACCCTGTATTAACTATGACAAATAAACACAACTTGAACTTGAGAACACGCAAACAGGCCGTGCGCGCTCCCGCGGCGGTTACCACTGTTTTGGGCAGAGCATCACTTTATGGCACAACACCGACCGCTGCCTTGGCCCCGCCCAGCGGAGTAGAGCGTGCGCATCATAAATCGTGGCGCCGGCTGGGGGTTCTTTGAAGACCCCGCCCGGACAGTTTACTGTCGGCTCGGTTCGGCTGAGGAGGATCCTGCGGACAGAGGAGAAGGGTCAACCAGAACCAGCGCTCGGGTCCAACACCAATAACGAGGTGAGCTTTCTGAGCGGACGATGTGGTTCTGGAGTTGTTTCAGCTCGACTTGTTCACTTTCTTACTGGAGTAATCAGCGCGCGGAGGAAAGTGGACGCGTTTCTGTCAGCCGCAGCACGAGACGTCTCCTGTATTGATCTTGAACATTTTCAGGACGTATTTGAGCTCGCAGCTCAAAACTTAGCGGCTTGTGTTGAATTCTCTCCGGCTCTCAGCTTCTCTGACTCTGGGAGCGCTTTTCATTAATTTGAGCACCTCGTTAAAAAAGAACATTCCTGCATTGCGGCTCGTGTTTTTCCACGTCCCACATGCCACACAGCTCCCACTGTGCCTGCAGCTGCCTGCCTGCGTTTTCCTCCCATGTCCCATTTTGGGATCTCTGAGATTCAGACAAAGTTTCCTGTCAGGAAGCGACAGAAGGAAATGGCCTGGTCGGTCCTGGTCCAGAGGCTGACTCATCCAGCAGGACAGTTTACTGACAAACACTTAGAGCAAGTTCTGCAGAACCAAGGACACCTCACCCACTCTCTCTCTGCCCCCCATCATTTCAAGACTTTTGAAGAGTCTCACTTTAAAAAGATTAACTTTAAGAAACAAAACACATGTAACACTTGGGTTGTACACTGAAAACCAAAAGGTGAAAAGTAGCAAAACGCTTAAGAAGCATAATAACTCAATAATAAGTGGATACTAGTGGATTTTAAAAAAGAACAGTGTTTTTGAAGGAACTAAAGAAGTCTGGTTGCAGTTAAGAGAAAGTATTTATAAACGGGTAAAAAAAAAAGTTGTTCTAAGACGCACAGATCCACTTTGTTTTTGGTGTGTTCAGACTAGCCATTAGCTCATCAGTTCTGTCAAGCGTAAGCGCTTTTTATCCAAACTAAGGTCCCTCAAAGAGCTGTCGCCAGGTAATGTATTAAATGCTTATACCTGTTCTGTAAAAGTAAAGAAGTACTGAAAGTACTATGTGTTGCCATCAGTGTATGTTTCTGGTGAAATTAGTTCTCTGCATTTAACCCATCACACCTGAGGTACCCCCCAGGTGGAGACTGGGCAGCTATGTAAGCACCCGGGAAGCAGTTAGGGATTAGGTGTCTTGCTTAAGGACACCACGATGTGAGCATGGCCGGGAGTTGACCCTGCAACTTTCTGGTCCCAATTCAGCTGCCTGAGTTCTTGTGACTCAATGAGACTACCTGTATAAATAAAGGGTAAATTAAAAATAAAAGAAACATATTTAGTTTATGGTACATTGAAAACAGTGTCTACTATAGAATTCAGCAAATAGAGCACCCCCCCCCCGCACCCCCACACACACACAAATTGTGTTTTTCAATCATTTTCTCCTTCATATTTTTTGTTTGTTTCTGTTATTCTAAATATTTGTTTTTACGTTTTTGTATATTTGACTCCAGTAGTTAATGGCAAAGTCATAAACTATTGAATACTTTGTGGTGATCTGAGCTGCAGCAAGTCTAAGCAGCTAAAAGCCTTATATGGAAGTGCAACAATAAGTGTTTGCATGAAGCTTCACAGTTGAAGTGTTAGGATGTTTTATGTGTGGTACATGACAAGTCAAATATTACAGTATTTTGACTTGAACCCATCCATCCATCATCTTTACCTGCGTTTTTCCTTTTCGGTTCCCAAGTTCACAATTCATTGTGTACTTTATTCTCAAGTTCCTGCTGGATATCTCCAACTGATGCTATTTGGGTAAATGTTCCTTGGCTTTTTACTGTCAGCCATCATAAAACAGTTAAGTGTCAACAACTGTGTATTGGCTTCTCTAAACCCGCCCTGTCATTATGGTGCTGGGATGGAAGAATCAATAAAGACATTCTATATGAAATCTTAATCGATGTTTAAAAGCAGGTCCTCTGAAAGCCAGACATGCTTTTAGAAAGCTACTCAGCAGAAGTACTTTACAGTAGAACTTATTATGAATGCAGGTACTAATGAGATAGTACATGTCATTATTCAGATATTATGGTCATAAATCAGTGGTGTAGATAAACCAAACACTTCACACGTTGCCTTGGTTTGAAACCCACCAGCTCTGTCAGGGAGAAACAGGATACGTGCAGCTGCAGCTCTTTATGGAAGGTGACCCCATGTGGGCAGACTGCTTTATTATGGGTTCTTTTTTTTCTCATTGAGGTTAACAAAGTCAGTGTGGATCGTCTTTGTTTAAAACTTTAACAGTAACTGTGGGCATCAGCCTTGTTTGTTTATTAACAAAATATGTAAAGAACCATAGTATTCACTGGAACCAGCCCATAGACTTTTAGAGCTGCCCCAATTCAAGATGGAGTCATTCACATTACCCAACAGAAGAAGCTATAACAAAGTCCATGCGCAATAATCCAGGTATACAAACCGTAATCCAAAAAAGTTGGGACAATAAGCAAATTGTGAATAAAAACTGAATGCAATGATGTGGAGATGGCAAATGTCAATATTTTATTCATAATATAACATAGATGACAGATCAAAAGTTTAATCTGAGTAAATGTAACATTTTAAAGGAAAAATATGTTGATTCAAAATTTCAGTGTCAACAAATCCCAAAAAAGTTGGGACAAGTAGCAATAAGTGGCTGGAAAAAGGAAATTGCGCATATAACGAACAGCTGGAAGACCAATTAACACTAATTAGGTCAATTGACAACATGATTGGGTATAAAAAGAGCTTCTCAGAGTGTCAGTGCCTCTCAGAAGCCTAGATGGTAAGAGGATCACCAATTCCACCATTGTTGCGCAGAAAGATAGTGCAGCAATACCAGAATGGTGTTACCCAGCGTAAAATAGCAAAGACTTTTCAGTTATCATCATCAACCGTGCATAACATCATCAAAAGATTCAGAGAATCTGGAACAATCGCTGT